CTAAGGGAGACCCTAAAGAAATAAGATGCCTTTTGTAGGGTTTTGTTTTCCCTAGAGATGTCCATTGAATGTTAACTCATAGCCATGTCTCCATGTGTAGAACACTACACAGTACCTTTCATTTGGTTCTAATAACATCAGATTGTTTACTAGTTTGTCTACTAGTAAATACTTTAGTTTTTATTTTAATGTGCTGATCACAAAACAATGTTTACACTGTGTTATGCCATTGGCTGATCTTTAATAAATGTTTTAACTAGTGTATCAGACTCATTTTAAATTGATATTAGGTTGGTACAACGTTAAGTAGCTTCTGATGTAGTTAAGCTACTTTTAACACATTAGTGTAACTTAGCTTGCTATAATTCTTTAGGTGGTAGCTTTGGTGTAGTGAAGCTTAATTTATTGTTGAGTAGCTGATAGCTTAGCTCACTACACTGGACAAGTAGCTTGCCCAACACTGGTGTTAGACATGGATTTTTTTGCCAATGGGAAGGAAGCCAAAGGCCAGTTGTTTTCGTCGAGAAAAAGGCTTAACTTTCACCAAACCCCTTGTATTTGAAAAAAAATTCATATTCAACATTCATCTCAAAACAGATACATTTCTTTTATTATATAAAGTAAACTTACACAGCCTTTTTGCTGCTCCTCACTGCTGGTATGAGCCTCCTTCTGCCTTCATCTGTTGTGTTGTAAGTGTTTAGGTCCAACTCCTCCAGTTCATTCTTGGACACCTGCAGCATGTAGGCCAGGGCAGAGCAATGTAGGGGAGTCAACTCTTTCTTTGAACGATTGTCCAGTTGAAGATATTCTTGGATCTCATCTTTGAGTTTATGATCTCTCATCTCAACCAAAGTCTGGAAGATATTGATGCAGCTATCTGGAGACAGGTTCTTTCTTCGGAGAGATCTCAGGTAAGTTAAGACTTTTTCTGCATCTTCAGTTGGGTCAACAGATGTCAACATGCCCTGAAGAGGTCTTCGGTTGGGTTCAATCATCAGGCCAAGAAGGAACCGCAAGAAAAAGTGACCATTCTTCTTTTCAAGAACTTTGTCAACAGTCATCTTTATAAGGTCAGCTAAAGCATAATCTTTCTCCTCCAACTTAAGGAATTCTACAAGCTCTTTGGTTTTCTTGGTAGTGAAACATTCATAGACATACAGTGCAGCAAAGAACTCTTGGAGGGTCAGATGCACAAAGAAGAAGATCTTTCTCTGGTAGAAAACTTTTTCTTCTCTAAGAACCGTGTTGCAAAAACCAGAAAAGATGGAAGCTTCTTCTGTGTCGATTCCATTGTCTCTCAGGTCTTCCTCATAAAATATTAGATTATTATCTAGAAGTTGGAAAAATGCAAGCCTCCCAAGTTTCAAATTAAACTCTTTGTGCATCTCCAGAAGCTTCTCCATGTGGGTCTTACTCTTCTTTTCATATTTTCTGCTTCTACGTTTTGTTTGGGCTAAAACAAAATGTGCCATCACCTCTGTCAGAGTCTGAGGGATTTCAGCTTTCTCATCTCCACCAAAGACCTCTGAGAATAAGACCGAACAAAGCCAGCAGAAGATCGGAATCTGGCACATGATATCCAGACACTGAGAGGACTGAATATGTGATATTATGCTCTCTGTGAGACTTGACTTATTACCAAATCTCCTTTGAAAATATTCCACTTTCTGATCATCAGTAAACCCTTTTATTTCTGTCACGGAATCAATGTACTCTGCAGGGATCTGACTGGCTGCTGCTGGACGGGACGTTATCCAGATGTTTGCCTCGGGAAGGAGGTTACCCTGGATAAGGTTTACAAGCAGGTTATCTACAGATGTTACATCTGTCAGAGACAACCCTGTCTTTTTGTTCTCAAAATTTAACTTCAGCCTGCTTTCATCCAGACCATCAAGGATTATTACTATTTTTGCTTTACTATAATCTGGAGGATCTTTTAGAGATTGAAGAGTTGGATGAAAATCACTCAGAAGCTCATTGAAGCTTTTTTCCATTCTAACAAGGTTCAATTCTCGAAAAGCAAAACAGAAAACAAAGTAAATGTGTTGGTTTGCTTCCTCCTCAGCCCAGTCAACAATGAACTTCTGAACAGCAAATGATTTCCCAATGCCTGCAACTCCCTTTGTCAGGACCCTTCTTTGGGGTTTCCCTCGGTCCGCTAAAGATTTAAACATTTCCGTTAGGTTCACTGAGGAATCTTCTGAGGACTGCTTTTTAAGACTGACTTTCAGGTGTCTAAACTCATGCTCATCAGAAAGACTCTCTCCTTTGGTTACGTAGAGAGTTGTGTAAATACTTTTCAGTGAAATTTTGGGGTCACCATTGCCCTCAGCTGTAACTGAGAATTTCTTTTGCATTTCTTTTTGAAGTTTCTTCTTCAGTTTTAAATCGAGTTCTTCACCTGTTGAACAAATCAAACTGACATTGATGAAATCATATATAATGTTATCGTCATCTAAAACTCTTGTGGCTGCTTAAGCTTTCAAATGTATTTAGGAAAACTGGAATCTCTTTAGCACAGCATGTATAAGCAGTTGTGAGCAATAAAAAGTGAGAAAAGGCTTTTAAAACTTTACCATGTGTTTCTGGGGTTGTTTTTTGGCACTTTGGACACCCTCGATCCGTTAAAACCTCTTTACAGACTGAACATTGCTTTGGATGGCTAAAAAGACAACAACAAAAATATAATTCATTTTATAGTATGCATTATATTATACCATATATGAGGATTGGATGGATACCTATAGCTTCCAAGACATGGTAGCGCCGGCTACCGTTCATTCATCCTGTCAGCTGAACTGCGGCTAGTTTTACTTAACTACCTAAGAGGGAGTCTAGTGCTACTATCACAGATGATGGTAGATTATCACGTCTCCTTCTGCAAACTTGCTGCGTGCACTTAGCTAGTGTAGCCATCTGTGGCCCACGCTGCCTACCTAAAATCCGGCGCGTGGATGACGTCATACACACTCCGCTTTGTTTTTTAAAAATATAACCATGGATGTCTGGGGGACAGTGATTGGCCTACATATTATGAATGCTGGTGTAACAGAAAGAATAAATTATGAACAGTTCAGTTTGTGCTTCAAGTCGTTGCCCATAGGAAGACGTTACTTGGATATAACCTAACGGAATATCTTCAGAACAGCTCCAAATGACACAAAACTCATATGGGTGAGTAGAACATGATGTAATAACGTAAAATCAAGGGCCCAATGTAAAAAAAAAAAAAACGGTGTTCCCCTTTAAAGCTCTCCCTCCTCCTTTGGTTGTCTAATGACACTGAATAGGTTATAGACTAATATTTAAACATTTACAGTTATAGACTTTAAAAACGTATTTATTTATTTAGTTCAATTGTTTATGTAATTATTCATTTATTTATCTGAATGTTCATTGCAATTCAAATAAAGGTTTAACAGATAACACAGAGTGTAAAGATATACTGCACTGCAGTGCTATCTAGGTGAGGTTTGAATGTCTACATTCTTTATTAATTAACCTTAAATAAACTTTCTTCAAGCATATTTAAAAAAAATGGTGAAAATTACCTTGGAGCCGTTTCACCAAAATAATCAGGCACCCATTCCTTGGATCGATCGCTCCTCATCGACACATTACTCGGAGCTGGAGATCTGCTTCCTGTTACATGTGGACTACAAACAGAAGAGCTTTCAATAAACAACTGAGTTAATTTGTAGCTTTTGACAAATTTGAAATGCAAACAACAATCAAAATAGTTTAGTGCTGTCTAGTAAATGAAGAATAATTCTTGCCCAGCCCAGCCTGATGGAGGTGTACAATTTAGTCTCTAGTATCTTTGGACAGCTCTTTGGTCTTTGCCTTATTACCGGTAGTAGTTGGATTCTTTCTGATTGTATGGGGTGGACAGGTGTCTTTATGCAGCTAACGACCTGAAACAAGTGCATCTAATTTAGGATAATAAGCAGAGTGTAGGTGGACTTTTCATTGAGAGACTTTTCATTGTTGGAGGGCCAGTCTCTTTTCTGATTGGCAGGTGTTCAAATATTTATTTGCAATTGTAAATAAA